CCGCCGAGGGGAGAGGACTGGCACGTCACTGCCGCCGAGGGGAGAGGACTGGCACGTCACTACCGCCGAGGGGAGAGGACTGGCACGTCACTACCGCCAAGGGGAGAGGACTAGCACGTCACCTTTAACTGTAGAGAAGCTGAATCATCTTACGTCTCTTTTGCCAGGCGCCGTTGGCTTTTACCAGACCATTCCATGCAGCTGAAGGTCTAGATGTCACCTGCTTTAGACCGTCCCCTCCGCGTGCAGTGGTGGAGAGCTGGGACCCTAGACTGCCCATTCAAGCCCGTGGGCACATCACTGTGCCAGTTTCCCTTTACTCACCACCACCCGGTGGTGTCACTTCCCCTTCGCCCTCAGGACTCTCCCCGCCACCGAGAAGGGATGGGGGCTGGTGGTGAAGTTCCTGTGCCAGTCTAGGATTAGATGCTGCTGCTCCAGCGACTTGGCCCACACCTGACCTGTGAGCTGCAACATGGAGTCGGTGCAGGTGAAATTAAGCTCTGCTGGGAGGCAAGGAAAAGAGATTCTGGTTCAGTTTGGATTGGATGCGCCTTCCTCCCCCCCCCCCAAAACATGACTGCGCTCTTCAGCTCAAAAATTCATGAGATTTCAGCCCCGTCAAATCCAAACCAGTCTGCTGCAAAGCCGAATCCCCAATCCACCCATGCACTGTCTCCCACCAGCCCCTCTTGGATTTCAGTCTGGAGAGGTGCTAGGCCAGGCTGCCATCAGGTTCCCATTCGTGACACGTTTCCAAGCCTGCCAGAGTGACACGTTTCCAAGCCTGCCAGAGTGACACGTTTCCAAGCCTGCCAGAGTGACACGTTTCCAAGCCTGCCAGAGTGACACGTTTCCAAGCCTGCCAGAGTGACACGTTTCCAAGCCTGCCAGAGTGACACGTTTCCAAGCCTGCCAGAGTGACACGTTTCCAAGCCTGCCAGAGTGACACGTTTCCAAGCCTGCCAGAGTGACACGTTTCCAAGCCTGCCAGAGTGACACGTTTCCAAGCCTGCCAGAGTGACACGTTTCCAAGCCTGCCAGAGTGACACGTTTCCAAGCCTGCCAGAGTGACACGTTTCCAAGCCTGCCAGTCAGCAATTCCCTCCCCAAAGAGCAATACTTCTCACGTCTCCAGAGCTGGCCTGGCCTATGGATTCAGACCTGCTGAGTAGTGCTGGGGGCCCCGATCCCAGACGCCTTCATGCGGACCGACTGCCAGACAGCGCTGAGCACCTGCCAGCTGGAAATCAGGCCACCGAGATCTCTCCAGGAAGGCCCCAGAGTGACTTCTCTTCTGAACACTGAGGCCCGTGAATTTATGTCACAGACGTCTCAATGGGACACAGTCTCTAGGGTCACTTCTGCAAACCTGCTTATTTGGGGAGTGACTGGCCACAGCTGCTCCACACACCGCTCTCAGTCCCCCAGAGGGGCTGTACCGAACCCAGGCTTCAGGGAGATGCTTTGGCCAAAGTTCAGAGAAGGCGTTTTGCAGAAGCCTGGTATCAAATACCTGCTCTAGGCCCAGAGCACAAGTAGCGGAGCATGTGGGAGCCAGGTCCCTTTGCAGACCTCCTGCAAGGTGCTGGGCCTCTCCCTGTGCCTCCTGCAGCATGGCAGGAAGGAGGCTCGTTTTCCCACCCTCCACGCGGCACCGGCCGTTTCTCCGTCGGACCCTCCACCTCCTTCAGGGCAGACCTGGCCTCTTGCCACTTCCTCTGCTACCACAACCTCCTCCCCCCCACTGGCACTCTGGAATAGCCCCAGACTGCCAGGGCAAGAGGCCTCCAAGTGTCGCATGTGGCTTGGGGAGCAACCATTTCCTTTAGCACCAGGGGCTGCCGGCTTCTTGCTCTCACAACCCCTCCTCACGTCAGCCAGGGTATGCAGGCTGGGCTGCAGGGCTGGAGCAGAAGAGGAGCAATATAAAGCGGTTACTGGTGAAGGTGGTGGCTCTGGCACTGACCGTGGAGGTAGAATTGGGAGACGCCGCAGGCACAGGTCTCCTCCATGGATTTCGTTAGTGCCCCCTCCAGGCTGTGGAGAGCCCCCTCGGGGGCTGCCGTCCACACCGAGCAATCTAGGCGAGAGAGGGGAGATGTCACTCAAGGGAGCTGGCCCTGGCAATTAGTCTACAGCCGTTCCAGCTGGAAACACCCAGTCCTGTCTGACCGCAGGAGCGAGGCCGTGCTGGGGACTGGCTACTCCTTGGAGGGGCAGTCGTGGAAACAGCCGCAGCTGGAGGGCAAAGAGGACAAAATGGCAGAGCGGCAGCGAGGGAATTCCACCCAGTCAGTCCGGTGTTCGTGGAGGACTGGAGTGAGGGGGGTTTCTTCAGGCGAGACAGGACTCAGACGTTAGCTCCAGTCATGTGTCACCGCCACTGGCGAGGCTCATGCCAAACTCGTGAGGAGATACGGAGCTTCACTCCCTTTCCCCGAGGAGGTTTCTGGTTTACAGGAACATTGGCTATTTCATTTGGCCTGGAGGTGGGCCTCTTTCCTGGGTTTCCATACACGCCAGCCTTACCGAATGCTCCCTACCCCCTGGGAATTCGGGTGCCCATGGCAATGAAACAAGACAGGCAAGGGGATGAGGACTCCAGCCCCAAGCTCCCTCCGGGGAAAGCCACGCTCCGGCTGGCTGACGGACCACGCAAGTGGTCTGACCCCATGGTTGCAGTCCCACCTATTCCCCAAGCAGGTTCTGGCTGCGACCACGATGAGCCAGAGCCATGGCAACCCCTGAACACGTCCCGCTCCTGACGAATCTTGCCGCGAGGCTGTAGGACGCTGTCCTCTGCAAGCTGGAGGTGAGGGCAGAGCTGTCCCTTACGCATGGCGGACTGGGGTGGCTGCTCCAGGACCCGAGATTTGGAGAGCCCCTGGTTCAGTCTCCAGCAGCAGCAACAACCCAGCCCCACCCCACTCTGCCCCACTGGCTCCCAGCGTCACCCTCCACCGTGGCTGCCACCAGGATTGCACCTGCATAAAAAAATGCTCCGGGGGCCCACACTGGCCGATCTGTCCCGGGCCCCACCCCCGCGCGACGGCCCTGGGTTAGGGCTACATCGTACGCTTTGTTCCTGCACAGCAGTCGGGGTGTTTGCCCCGGTATCGCCAGCGAGATGGGGGGGCGGGTTTCCTGCCATTGCTGACAAGCAAGTGGCCTTTCCAGAGAGGCGTCCGGAGTTAAATACCT